TCTTCAGTTATATGTGATCTCTCTTTCCAGACCAAAGAGAGTCTGGAAAGTACTTGGTGTACTTCTATTTATTAATTCTGTCCCTGGATTAAATCAGATTTTCCCTATACATAGCTGGCATTTTATTGACACAGTTGCTTTTTCTGGATTGTACTTTGGCAATCCATATGAAAATCCCTGTGAAACTTAATTGCTGTGGATATGTAAAGGGTATTTATCATTACAATTCATAATATTCTATTTAAGGATGCATGGGTGAAATTTTTCTCTGAACACAGTTGTGCTTTTCCTAAATTGCTGTTTGGTTTTTACCTTGGGAAGACACTAAATATTCAACTGAGTGTATTTTTCTCTTTACATTGATGCTAGACCACTTAGGGTTCAATTTATGACCCACTTCCAGCAAGTGTTTAGGACTTCATGTTATATATTTTGTGTGCTAGCCATGTTCTTGGTTCCAATCTTCCTTTATTTTCATTTTTCTGTTTTAATCTTTTTTATCTTACTATACTATCTGCATCTTTGGAAGCCTTTTTGGACTGAGATTGAGATATAGATAAATAAAAGAATGTATCCTTAATCCTTTTGATTATCTCATTTGTTTCTCTTTAGACACTTTTTTAGCTTTTTCGCATTTTCTTTAAGTTGTAGTGACCAGAATTGCACATTGGATAAAAACCCTGAATACTAGAAATAGGAATTAATGGTTTATAAATAGCAGTTGAGTACTAAATTGGAATTTAGAAGACCTGGTGCCTGGATCCACCAATAATTATCTCAGTGTCTTTACACAAGTCATTTTAACCTCTTTGGATCCTAGTTTCCTATGTATAAAATGAGGGGGTTATAACCACTGGTTCTTAATAGTGAGGGATGGGTTTCAGATTTCTGATGCTTTTTCAAAGGGCAGATGCAGATGATTTTAATGATACTGTGTGTCTGGCCCAGTGTTAATTAATGTTCGAGTCACCCAACATTTTATAGCCTCTTTGGTCACAGTAGCATATTGGGTTAAGGTCTTTAGGAATGGTTAATATAATGTCACTAGGGTCCCTTTCCTAGGTCATATTAGATAGCTTAGAGACCATGATCATGTAAGTGTAGTTTGAATCATTTCTTACCAAATGAGGACATTTTTAACACATTCTCTTCAGTGAGTGGTACATTACAGCAGCGATTCTCAGAGTGGAAGGGGTGATAGAAAATCAAAGTTTCAGAAAGTATAATTTGAAAAAGCACTGCCCCTACCCCCCAGTTTTGTTACGCTCATCCCGTTCATTTGTTCACTTATTCACTGACATAACAAACTGGTAATCTCAATTCCTTGGTTACTTAATAGAGTCTTCAATGTAAAAATCTTGTCGAAGCTTTTTAAAAAAATTAAAAGCATATTCATTGCATTGTTAACCCCTGTTATGGGCTGAACCATGGTCCCCCCACCCCCCAATTTGTATGTTGAAATTCTAACCTCCAGTACTTCAGAATGTGACTATATTTTGAGAGAGGGTCTTTAAAGATAGAATTAAGTTAAAATGAGGTCATATGGGTGGGCCCTAATCCAATATGACGGGTGTCCTTATAAAGAGGAAATTAGGACACAGACACCCACAGAGGGAAGACCATTTGAAGCTACAGGGAGAAGACAGTCATCTACAAGCCAATGAGAGAGGCCTCAGAAGAAACCTACCCTGCTGACACGTTGATCTCAGACTTCTAGCCTTTTGTGAATTGTGAGAAAATAAATTTCTGTTATTTGAGCCACCCAGTCTGTAGTACTTTGTTATGGCAGCCCTAGCAAACTAATATATCCCCTATGACGAGTTCTAATAGATTAATCAGGAATTATTATTTTATTTGCAAAAATGCATGCAGTCGTCTTCACTATAGGTTGGTTTTGCTTATATTCTGAGAACATATAATTATTTTAGATTTCATTACAGAGCCCTACTGATTAGCAGTGGTCACACTGCCTCCTTTGTTCAGTACTTCATCGTACACAGTAGCAGGTCTGGTAATTCCAGTTTCATCCTTGAGTTCACTCAACTGCCTGGTGGATACTTCTCAGAGTTGCTGATTTGGGTTATGTAATTTGATTTTTACAAAATAATCTCTAATCCTAAAATTTAAAAACTACAATTGCTTAATAGTTGGGCCCCTACTTCATATTATATACAAAATTTAATTCCAGATACATTAAGGATTTAAATGTGACCATCAAAACATTAAAAATCTCAGAAGAACATTTAGGAGACTAGACCTACAATCAAGGTATGGAAGAGATACCTAAACCAAGACAGAAAATGAAAGCACTATAAGAGAAAAAGAAAAACATATTTACATAAAAATTTGATGACTGAATGACTCAATCAAGATAGGAAATCCAGATGATCTAAAAGGAAAGATAAACATCTTTTTTTTCCCCCCTCAAATCCCCCCAGTATATAGTTGTATATTCTTTAGTTGTGGGTCTTTCTAGTTGTGGTATGTGGGATGCCACCTCAACATGGCCTAATGAGCGGTGCCATGTCCGCGCCCAGGATCCGAACCAGTGAAACCCTGGGCCGCCGAAGCAGAGTGCGTGAACTTAACCACTCGGCCATGGGGCTGGCCCCCAAAGATAAACATCTTGATCACACAAAAGTTTTATCTTTGTTTGGCCAAAGGTATCATTAATAAAGTCAACAAACAAAAAACATCTAGAAAATTTTACAATGTGATGACAGGTAATGTCTGTAACACAGAACTCTTAAAAATTAGAAAAGAAAACTAACCTATTTTTAAAAAAGTGCAAGGAATATGAAATGACAAATCAATTAGATCTATATGAGTTGACTTAGAAGCGCTATATAAGACATTGAATGAGGAAAAAAATGCAGAAGTGTAAGAAATAATGCCATTTTTGTAAAGGACCAATACCTTTTTCCTTTCCCTTGTGTATGTATGTGAGAGAGAGTGAGAATGTGAAAAAGGGAACCTGGAAGGGAGAGAGGAGTAATACAAGTGGAAAGAGAGAGGGAAAAAAGAAAATGAAGGCACTAGCTCTCAATTCCAGAGACCCCAGGCTGCACATCAATTGATTTTTGAGAAAAAAAAAAAAATGTGTATGTGTGTAAATGAAGACAAAACCTGTGTGTATGCATATATGTTTTTATAAAGGTTTACATGTTATTGGTTACCTCAGGTAGGTAGAATGAATGGGGGAGGTTTTGCCTTTAATACGTCTTTCCATTGAACTGTTTCACTTGCTATAACAAGCATCCATTATTTTTACAATTTTTTTTTTCATGAGGAAGATTTGCCCTGAGCTAACACCCCTGCCAATCTTCCTCTATTTTTCAGTATGTGGGCCACCAGCACAGCGTGGCTGCTAGCAGAGGTAGGTCTGTGCCTAGGAACCGAATCTGGGCGGCCAAAGCAGAGCATGCTAAACTTGACCACTAGGCCACTGGGGCTGGCCCTATTTTTACAATTTGAAAAAACACCAAATTATAAAAATTATTGTGCAAAACACAACCAACAAACCAATTCTGTTTATGTTACCTATTTACATCAGTATTTTCTCTCTCATCTACCCCTCCATATCGCCCTCCTAATTTGCTGCTGGAAGCACCATATCCCTTGGCTACTCACCCAGCAACAAGGATTAAGCACTCCAGTTCACACATTTCTATAATACAAGCTTTTACTCCTGGCACTTAAGAGTTTTCTGTCTTGGTTTTTCTGCCACTTCCCACTGTTGTTTTATTTGCTGGATCTTTTTTTTTTTTTTTAAAGATTTTATTTTTTTCCTTTTTCTCCCCAAAGCCCCCCGGTACATAGTTGTATATTCTTCGTTGTGGGTCCTTCTAGTTGTGGCATGTGGGACGCTGCCTCAGCGTGGTTTGATGAGCAGTGCCATGTCCGTGCCCAGGATTCGAACCAACGAAACACTGGGCCGCCTGCAGCCGAGCGCACGAACTTAACCACTCGGCCACGGGGCCAGCCCCTTGCTGGATCTTTTTGATTGACCAGAGGTATACACATCTTCTGATTCCCTCTGCTGAGTCTTGGGCAATCCCAGACTCAAATCTGTGCTTTTTCTTTTTTTTTTTTTGAGGAAGATTAGCCCTGAGCCAACATCTGCCACCAATCCTCCTCTCTTGCTGAGGAAGACTGGCCCTGAGCTAACATCTGTGCCCATCTTCCTCTACTTTATATGTGGGACGCCTGCCACAGCATGGCTTGACAAGCGGTGCCACGTCCACACTGCGGATCTGAACCGGTGAACCCTGGGCAGCCAAAGTGGAATGTGTGCACTTAACCACTGAGCCACCTGGCCGGCCCCAAATCTGTGCTCTTAGGTTGTCTTTCTCAGTTTTCCATTCAAGCAACTGTTATCTCTAGTGCCCTCAGGCTGGGACCATTATGTTTTTCGAGCAGTGCCATCCAATAGAAATATAATAGAATGTAAGCTTCATAAGTAATTTTAAATTTGCTAGTAGCCACATTAAAAAGAAACAGGCAGGGGCAGTCACAGCAGTTAAGCACGCACATTCCACTTTGGCGGCTCGGGGTTCACTGGTTCAGATCCCAAGATGGACCTACGCACCTCTTGGCAAGCCGTGCTGTGGCAGGCGTCCCACATATAAAATAGAGGAAGATGGGCACAGATGTGAGCTCAAGGCCAGTCTTCCTCAAAAAAAATAAAAAGATCTTATTTTATTTCTTTCACACAAAGCCTTCGAAATCTTGTTTGTGTTTTACACCTAGAATAATCTCAATTTGAACCAGCCACATGTTAAGTGCTCAATAGCCACCTGTGGCCAGTGGTCATGGTGTCGGACAACACAGTGCTAGAGGAGCCCATCCCCTGCGGGCCCTACAGCCCCTAACAGATTATGCTTCCTCCTCTTGGGATTCTTGCCTTTTCCAAACTCATTAAGACTTCAGAGTGTAAATAAGACGCTGTGAGTGTCCAAAGGAACACACTTTATTATAAACTATAACTGTGAATAACTTACCCTTAGGCTGTTTCCAAAAATCAGTTGATCCCACCGTCCACAGCTAGGTTTCCCTCACGGAGGGGCCTGAAGCGCCGGGGGAACGCGGGAGTCGGTGGCGTGGGTCGGACTCTGCCATCTACCACCCAGGGGCACGGCTCGGCTCCTGCGTCTGTGAAGCGGAGACGTTTATCGTACCTCCTTCACAGTCCTTAGGAGGATTAAAGGGGTTCATATAGCTAAAGCGTTCGGAAGAGTGCCAGCTGCACAATAAACGCGCAATACACGTTAGCTATGCTTCCAGAACACTTGTTGCAGCCCCTGAGGTAGGTCCCAAGAAAACGCGAGAATTCTGAAGAGGCTAAGTTACAGCGCAGGTCGAGCAGCGCGTGTGAGCCCATGTGAGGCCCTCACGGACGCCGGAGCTGTGCGCGGGCCGCCCAGGCCTAAGAGGGCAACGCTGCGCTCAACTCTCCCCTCCAGACGCCCTGCCGGCTCCCTCTGGTCAAGGCCGAGGCGCGAGGGAATAAGGGACACCTGAGGAGAGACTTCCCGAGGCCAGCCTACGGACACAACTTTTCCGTCAGAGTGGGCGGTGGGGGGGGGGGTCTGCCGGAAGTAGGAGGGATGGACTCCTTGACTCTCCAGCTACCTGCACACCGCCCCCAAGGGGAGGCCACAAGGCCAGCCTCCGGCCTGGGGCGCGTGTCGCCCTCCCGCCCGCGTCTTCCGTGCGGGACCCCTAGCGAGAGCGCGCGCACCGCGGGCCGCTCTGGGGCGGAGCCTGCGGCCGGGTTCTGGCCCGGAGCGGACGCGCTAGCCTGACGCGCTCAAGCTCCGCAGCCAATCGGGAAGCGCGGTGCAGGTTCAAATAAAGACGGCGGGTGAACATGGCGTCACCCCTTGGGTCTGGGAGGTGATCGACCTGCGTTTTGTGTTGAAGATGTGGCGGGTGAAAACACTGAACTTTAGCCTGTCGCCTTCGCCTCAGCCGGTGAGCGGGAGAGCCTCCTGGGGAGAGAGCTGGGCCGGGGCTTCGGGGGCGGGGGGCTGGCAGTGCCGAGCGTGCGGGAGGGTTGGGTCGAGCCTGGGGGCGGGGGCGTGTGGGGTCTTTTGTTTGCCCAGCAGCTTGAGCGCGACTGGGCTCGGGGCTACTCTTCTTAGTGCCCCGGGAGGAAGGCGGGCTGGCGGAGCCAGGCTTTCTCACCCTCTTTCTTTCTCAGGGAAAACCGGCTGTGAGAACCCCTCTCCGAGAACTTACCCTGCAGCCCAGTGCTCTCACCAGCTCCGGAAAACGGCCCCCGCTCTGCTCCTCGCTCACTCCATCCCTGTGCAAGCTGGGGCTGCAGGTGAGATTCGCCCGGCCGGCTTCTCGACTGGGCTCTTTGCCGAGGCCGAGCGCTCAGAGGAATAGAGGGCCCGGGCTGGAACGTAATTAATAAGGATAATGAAGTCTTCTACCTCAGTGACATCCATTTACAGCTATTCGGGCCAACAGAGAGGTGCCCTAGGGTGGTTAAAGGAAATCCACGGAGAACCCGGGCCTCTATTTAGGTGTTAGTTTTTATCCCCTCCTCTCCCGTTCAGTCTTTCCTGAACTAGTGAGAAATACTCTCACTTTGGTTGGTGGTCTCCCTCTACGATAGGCTCACTTATGGAGAGGTCACTCAGCTGCAAGAGTGCGGCAATGTCCATCCACTCCAAGAGGCAGTCAAAACTCTCCTGGGATCAAGTTACACCACTGGAAGGCAGGCTACTCGGACCATCTTAGTTTAAACCAACCCCTTGTAGAATTGCCCTCACTGAGTTGTACTTTTGTCAAAGGTCTTGAGAGAAGTAGTCATGTAGAAACTGCTTTTCACTTGCCATAAAACTTGTCAAGGGGGCTGGCCCCGTGGCCGAGTGGTTAAGTTCGCGCGCTCCGCTGCAGGCGGCCCAGTGTTTCGTCGGTTCGAATCCTGGGCGCGGACATGGCACTGCTCGTCAGACCACGCTGAGGCAGCGTCCCACATGCCACAGCTAGAGGAACCTACAACGAAGAATATACAACTATGTACTGGGGGACTTTGGGGAGAAAAAGGAAAAAATAAAATCTTTAAAAAAAAAAAAAAAAAACTTGTCAAGGAAGGTGACTGACCCCTCTCTAAGGTTCTTCGAAGAAACATCTTTTAGAACTTATTGTCTAGGAAAATTGTCTTTCTGGAGAAATTGCTATTTTTTTTTTCTTTCTCATAGTGAGAACTGTGTAGTTTACTATATTTTCCCTCTTGCACTGGCTTCTAGAAAGCTCAGGGTCAAATTTGACCATCAGGTATAGCTACCATTACTCCTTGAAATGGGAAGATTTGGTTCCTTTTTCTTTACCATGATTTTGTATTTCATTAACATGTTGTATCCATCCACCTATCTGTTCTTTTTCATGCAGTCTGAATTATTTTTGGAAGGAGATGGGGTATAAATAAAATAGGTTAGAGGAAGAAAGAAGAATATGTAAAAACAGATGACAGCCTGAGTAACAGATGTATGAGGGTAGCAGTCTTTCTTGAAAGAGCTCTAACACCTACTGTCCAATAGAACTTTCTGGGATGATGGTAATGTTTGGTAATCTGTGCTGTCCAATATGATAGCTATTAGTTACATGGCTATTGAGCACTTGAAAGGTGGCTAATGTGATTGAGGAACTAAATTTTTAGTTTTATTTAATTTTAATTTAAATAGCCACATGTGGCTAGTGGCTACTATGTTAGACAGTACAGCTTAGGTAGAAAAGAAATAAGTACTGAGTGGGAACTGATCTTCATAGAACCTATAGAATTTAACCACAGCCGTTTAATCCCAGTAGCAGAATAGACTGGAATTTAGGTCTTCCTGCTCTTTTTGGGGGGTTTTGTTTTTTTTGAGGAAGGTTAACCCTGAGCTAGTATCTGCTGCCAGTCTTCCTCTCTTTTTTTTTTTTTTTTGCTTGAGGAAGGTTGTCCCTGAGCTGACATCTGTGTCCATCTTCCTCCATTTTGTATGTGGGATGTTGCCACAGCGTGGCTTGATGTGCAGTGTGTAGGTCCATGCCCGGGATCCAAACCTGTGAACCCCTGGCTGCCAAAACAGAGTGTACGAACTTAATCACTATGCTCCCAGGCCAGCCCCCATCTTAACTATTTTTAAATTCACAGTATATTCTCATTGTTAAGTGTATTCACATTGTTGTGCAGCTGTTCTCCAGAACTCTTTTCATCTTGCAAAACTGAAACTGTACTCATTAAATAACAACTTCCCCTTCTGCCCTCCCCCAGTCCCTGGCAACCACCTTTCTACTTTCTGCCTCTATGATTTTGACTACTTTGGTACCTCATATAAGTGGAATCATACAGTATTTGTTCTTTTGTGACTGGCTTATTTCACTTAGCTTAAGGTCTTTAAGATTCATCCATGTTGTAGCATGTATCAAAATTTCCTTCCTTTTGAAGACTGAATAATATTCCATTGTATGTATATACCACATTTTGTTTATCCATTCATCTGTTCATGGACACTTGGGTTGCTTCTACTTCTTGGCTATTGTGAATAATGTTGCAATGAACGTGAGTGTCTGAACAGCTCTTCTAGACCCTACTTTCAATTCTTTTGGGTATATACCCAGAAGTGGAATTGCTAGATCATATGCTACTTTTACTTTTAATATTTTGAAGAATCTCCATACTGTTTTTCATAGCAGTTGCACCATTTTACATTCCTACCAACAGTGCACAAGGGTTCCAGTTTCTCCACATCCTCACCAACTAATGGGTGTGAGTTGGTATCTCATTGTGGTTTTTATTTGCGTTTCCCTAATGATTAGTGATGTTGAGCATCCTTTCTTGTGCTTATTGGTCTTTTGTATATTTTCTTTGGAGAAATGTTATTAAAGTGCTTTGCCTGTTGTTATTTTTTTAAATTTTATTGTTTATTTTTTTTGAGGAAGATTAGCTGTGAGCTAACGTCTGCCACTGATCCTCCTCTTTTTGCTGAAGAAGCCTGGCCCTGAGCTAACATCCGTGCCCATCTTCCTCCACTTTATATGTGGGACACCTGCTACAGTATGGCTTGACAAGCGGTGCCATGTCCGCACCCAGTATCCGAACCCATGAACCCTGGGCCGCTGAAGTGGAACATGCTCACTTAACTGTTGCACCACCAGGCTGGCCCCAACTTTGCCCATTTTTAAATTGGGTTATTGTTGTTGTTGAGTTGTAGGAGTTTTTATATATAGTCTGGATATTAATCCCTTATTAGATACATGATTTGCAAATATTTCTCCTTAAGTGATTTTTTTTTTTTGAGGAAGATTAGCCCTGAGCTAACTACTGCCAGTCGTCCTCTTTTTTGCTGAGGAAGACTGGCCCTGAGCTAACATCCGTGCCCGTCTTCCTCTACTTTATACGTGGGACGCCTACCACAGCATGGTGTGCCAAGCAGTGCCATGTCCACACCCGGGATCCAAACGGCGGACCCTAGGCTGCCGAGACGTGGAACGTGTGCACTTAACCACTGCGCCACTGGGCCGGCCCTGTTAAGTGATTTTTTTTTAAAGGAATAAATAGGAACTTGATAAACACAGCAAAAACTTTAAGTTGCACTTTTGCATTTCTAAAAGTCTGGTTTGTATATTTAGCTTCTGGGCAATTTAGTGCAGGCTCATTTATGTTTTTTATAATCATATATCTTTAATTATGTCTTTTATCACAATAGTGCTATAACCATACGTTCTACCTTGTCTAATATTAACATTGCTGCCTCTGCTCTCTTTGTTTGCTTTTGCCTGGTCTCTTTGCTATCCTCTTTATTTTCTACTTTTCTTTTAGCATTTTGAAAGAAAACCTTTAAAAAATTGAAATAAAATACATGAAGGTACATAAAAAGTAGAGGTTAACAAATTTGTGTAAACCACAAGTCATTGTAACCAATACCCAGGTCAGTAAATAGGACATTGCCAGAATATCAGAAGCCTTTTATAGCTCAATCTTATGTTTTAAAGTTTCGGCCACTGTTGTAAATGAGAAATTTCATGTAAGTCTGATTTTTTTTTTTTTTTGCCTAAATAATTGGTCATTCTACCTAAAGCTTCTAAAATAGTTTTGTCTACCTTGTAGTTCAGAAATTGTATCTTTTCTTGTCAGTCCTGCTTTGAACTTGGTGAGCCATCTCAATATGCAAATTCAGATCTTTCCCTTTTTTGCTGAGGAAGATTTGCCCAGAGCTAACATCTGCTGCCAATTTTCCTCTTTTTGTATGTGAGCTGCCACCACAGCATGGCCACTAACAGACGAGTGGTGTAGGTCTGCACCCAGGAGCTGAACCCAAGCTGTCAAAGCAGAGTGTGCAGAACTTAGCCACTAGGCTACTGGGGCTGGCCCAGATCTTTCTTTACCTTAGAGAAATTTTCTTCTAATATTTATTAATCAGTGCCTCACCTATATATGTTCTCTTTTCTCCTGGAACTTCTTTTATTCACACGTTCGGTTTACTGGATTTATCTTCTAATTCTCATAGCTTTTCCGTCAGATTTACATTTCTTTGTATTTTTTGTCTTTGCTTTAAGATATTTCTTCCACTTGATTGTCCAGGCTAATAATTCCAATCTCAACTCTGACCATTCTCTTCAATTTATTTTACTGAAATTTTTTGTTTAAAAGTAGTATTTTTTATTTCCGGAAAGTCTTTGTGTGTGTGTGTGTGTGTGTTGTACTCAAATCTTACGTACTCATATTTTTTTTTTTGGTTCAGATTGTCATGTTTCTCCCATCAGC